GACCCTTGAAAATGCAAGGCTCGAACCACGTTTAGAACATGATGTTTTCTTTCGACCCTTCCGTTTTGTTGAGGTGTAGCAATATATGAGGTGTGAAAAACAATTCCACTGTCCAAAAAAAATGTCTGAGACAAGTAAATTCCATCCCGTTTTCACTTCGTTCGTCTTTACTTGATTACCGAATGGTCGTTCAACGAGGGCAAAAAACATTTTAAGAACATGAGTGACCTTTTCTTGTCGACCAACAGATAAATCCATACGGCAGTTGAAAAATTGTCAACAGTAGTTAATAAATATAAAGCACCACTAAAAGAGACAGTTTTATACGTTCCCTACAAATCACAATGAACGAGTTCAAAATTTTCTTTAGCATTATTTTCACTAGCAGGGAATTTATCTATAGTTTGCTTAGCCCTATGACAAACATCCCAACTTTTGTTTAAATTAGTATTATGCTCTGTAACACTAATTTCAGGAAGTAACTTGGTTATCTACAGAGATGGATGACCAAGTCGCTTGTGCCAGAGATCAAAAGACGCCATTCCACTTATTGCCAATGCTTGATTCTGCGACACACCCGGAAAAAGCAAAGTCCACCTCGTCTTTCACCCACTCCAATCAACATCCTCAAACTGCAGTCCCGTATAGTACATAAACCATTAGTGATTTAAATAAAGCATTTGTGATAATTAATTAGCTGCATTATGGAAATCAATTTGCAGTCAAGGCTAGGAACAAATAGAACATTTTTGAAGTGAAAGTTTTGGTCAAGAATAACAGTTCACTAGTCATCGGCATCTGTTGTGACTAATTGCCTAGGAAGGATATCGTGCTTGAGAGCCTATTTTATGACTACTTGGGATGTAGAGAGCCTACGTTATGACTAACTATGATGTAGTGCCTGAGAGACTACGTTATGACTAACTGTGATGTAGTGCCTAAAAGCCTACCATACGATTACTTATTTAAAAAAAACGTTTTATATTAATTGAGTTTATTGCATTGTTGCATTGACAGGGAGTTCATCACTAGACTGTATGGTCTAATCCTCATTTTGATTTAAAAAATATGCATTTCAGGGCAACAATGTTTAGATGATAAAGGAAAAGGAAATATGTGGAAGTATCTTTTCAGATTTTCCACATGGGAAGCCTATCGAGGAGTTTTATGAAGTCTGATTTTGATCTTCTTATTATGTGGATCTTTTTACGTATGAAGATCCTTAGAGCAAAAAGATGGTGTGACTTTAATATATTTATACAGTTTGGTAGAAAGGGACCCTATCTGTATCCCTAATTTGATTTATTTTGTAAAAATTCCGTACTATATGTTATTTGGAATTGCGAGTTCTCGTAAATCTACATTGTTATATTCATTTCTTGATTTGCTATATATATTAATTGATGTTTTAATGTTCCATTTGAGAAACCAAAACTTTATGAAAATGTAAATCAACTAATATTCTTCAATGTTTGTTTTCTTGACTTTTAATGATTTTGAATCAGGTTAAAGCTAAACTAATTTCCTTTTGTAAATTTCTTTTTTTTTTCTTTATACAACTTAAAAGTTTCAACATTGAAAGTTTGTTACAGTTTATGAGATCTATACCATTGTCAATAATGTTACTGGAGATGGTCGATTTAGAAAATGAAGCAGGTGAATCATCGTACATAATAAAAGTGAAAAAACTGAAGGTGTCTGACAATGCTATGTAATCGTGTTCAAGTAGCCCCTACATCAATGCAAATTTTAACCAGGACTGCTACAACAGTAAATTCAAAGAGATTGATGAAAGAAAAAAAATATTACGAAATAGGATATTAAAATAATTACTGATATTTATTATTTGAATTAGATTTTAAAAGCTTCTATGTATTTTTTTTATAACAAGATAATAATATTTATAAACACTTTAATCAAGTGTTATTATATTTTTTTTAGTACGAAGATTACAATTTTAGAAAAGATTATATATTTGGTTTTTTAATATAAAGATTTACATTCTTAATAATAATATAAATATTTTATAATACAATTTTGTTAAGTAATTATTGATATATTTTAAATCTATCTATTTATATTTTCTTTTTATCTACTGTGATTTTGTTTATTTTAAGGGACTGTTTACCAAACATTTACCCGGTAAGTGCTTAGCGGTAAATCTAACACTACCATTTATTTACCGGGTAAGATTTTAGTCCACCAAAACGGTATCGTACACAACAATTTACCTCGTAAGCGCTTACCATGATAAGAGTCATCGTCATCACTTACCGAGTAAGATTATTGGTCTTTGTCTCGCTCTTACTAGGTAAGATTTTTGGCCTTACCATATTCATCCGGTAAGGTAATGTAACTTGATGTTCACTTACCCGAGTAAACGTTTGGTAAACAACCCCTAAATCTTTCATTATGTTGGTAAATTTTGACCTGGTATCTATTTTTATGTTATTTTTTGTATTAGAGTTATTTTAAATGGCTTCATTATATGTTATATATAAATATTTAAAGTAGAGAATAGTACAATAAAAACCAATGGACTTTCTTGTTTGGAATGATTAAGTCCTTAGACTTTTTTTTGGAACAAATAAGTCCTTGGATATTTCAAAACATGTTAAATAAGTCCTTGGACAATTTTTTGGAACAAATAAGTCCTTGGACATTCCAAAACATGTTAAATAAGTCCTTGGACAATTTTTTGGAACAAATAAGTCCTTGGACATTCCAAAATATGTTAAATAAGTCATTGGACAATTTTTGGAACAAATAAGTCATTGGACATTCCAAAAAATGTTAAATAACTTATTGGACAATTTTTGGAACAAATAAGTCCTTGAACAATCCAAAACATGTTAAATAACTTCTTGAACTTTTATAAAACATGTTGGATACATTGTTATGACTTGTACAACTAGTTAAAGTGGTAAAATAGTGAAAAAAAATCCGGAAAAAAACCCAATGAACATTCATATTTTGAACGATTAAGCCCCTAAATATTTTTGAACCAAAAAGTATTTAAATCTATAAAATTAAACAAATATAACAAAAAAGTACTTACATTTACAAAAAAATAATTACATTTAAAAAAGATTTTTGATAAAGTTTATTTTAATTAAAATTAAAATATATTCTGTCAGTGATTTTTCAAACAAAAAAAAATAATTATTATTAAATTTATTTTAATTAAAAATATATATATCATGTATGTGATTTTTTAAATTAAATTTTTTTTTAAAAGATTACTGGTGAAATTTATTTTAATTAAAAATAATATATTTTATAATTTTTTTTATTTTTTTAGTTTAAAAAATCACTGACAAAATATATTTCCGGATTTTTTTCACTATTTTACCACTTTATCGTTCAAAATATGAATGTTCATTGGGGTTTTTTCCCCATTTTTTTCACTATTTTACCACTTTAACTAGTTGTACAAGTCATAAGAATGTATCCAACATGTTTTATAAAAGTTCAAGAAGTTATTTAACATGTTTTGGATTGTTCAAGGACTTATTTGTTCCAAAAATTGTCCAAGAAGTTATTTAACATTTTTTGGAATGTCCAAGGACTTATTTGTTCCAAAAATTGTCCAAGGACTTATTTAACATATTTTGGAATGTCCAAGGACTTATTTGTTCCAAAAAATTGTCCAAAGACTTATTTAACATGTTTTGGAATGTCCAAGGACTTATTTGTTCCAAAAAATTGTCCAAAGACTTATTTAACATGTTTTAGAATGTCCAAGGACTTATTTATTCCAAAAAAAAGTTCAAGAACTTAATCATTCCAAATAAGAAAGTCCATTGATTTTTATTGTATTTTTCCCTTTAAAGTATGGTTGTTGTTATAATTTTTACCAGACATTCAAAATATTTCATGACTCTATTAATTAAATAGATAATATAAATTTTGATCACTGTGCAGCAAGCACGATAACATCAAACACTAATATGACTAAAAATTTCTCATTGAACCAATTTTTGGTTCTTATTTTAATACTAGAAGTGTACCTATTCTATATTTCTATATCTTGATTTTAATGTTTCGTTTTAATATTTATCTCTGGTCGATGTTATAATACGATTTATGTGGTTTTGAGAAAGCGATAATGCTATTATTTTTTATTAAAATATAAATTTGAAGATGTAATAAAATTTTGACAAAATTATATCGATATTAGTATCAAATTAACTATTTAAAAGTTGTCGGTTTTTTTAGTAATTTCTTTAATTTATTTATTTTATTATAATTTACTTTACATTTAATTGCGAAGTAATTAATTTTGGTTTAATAATATAATTTTTTATAAGAATAATAATTGAGTATTCTATTAGAACTCAAAGATTATCCTAAATATATTTTAGATAAATCGAATATTTTGTCTAGATCTTTCAAGACAACTCTTTGAATACTTCATAATGTTCAAATATTTGGGGTCGTTTATGAAACGTTAATCGGGTAACTTATCATACCAGATGAGCATGACAATGATCGAGAATCTTACTTGGTGAGTAAGGGTGGTGCCTCTTACCCGATTAGTGCTTCTCCAGTAAGAGAAGCTTACCAACAATTTTATTATGTCATTTTGATGGTGAAGAATTTTACCCGCTAAGGTAAGTGATGGTGATAATTCATACCAGGTAAGTGTTTACGCAGATAATGTTAGTAATGGCCCTTACTATTCTCTCTTAATCTGTAAAAGAAATCAGAGGTAGACGTAGAAATTTTTTTCATGTAGTGGCTATAAAAACGAAAATAATATTTTTTTCATGCACCATTTGACTATAAAAAAAGAAAGTATAGATATTTTTTTTCACAAAATAGTCACCGGTTTGATAGTTAATTCTGTATTTTTGTATGTAGGGTCTTGTGTTTGAGTCTTTTATCCCAAAATGTTTTTGGAAAAATAACAGAAGCTAAAACCTAAGAAATGATACAAATGAGATTCAAACCCACACTTGGAAACCGAGAAAAGACCGTGCAAACCAACTGCACCAAAAGAAATTTATATTATCATTGTAGTTTTCAAGTAATATATAGTTGCACCCAACAAAATAATACGACACTTTTCACAGTCCTAAAACCTTTTACAAACAAACAACAATTTATCTTAATTCATACCGACAGCTTAATCACTACACTTGTCTTGATCCGTTACCAATAGTTTTTGCAAGAACACATACCGTTTTTAAAGCAATGAAAGCGGCTGCGATCCCTTACAACGATCTCCCTATCAACAATCTCCGATATGATCTTCAAAGCCTCGTGGCAATCTTCACAAACCCGAAGATTCTTCATGATCCTAATCGGAGTTCCATCCGCAGTATTGATCAAACCAAACACGACCGCTAGCTTTTCACTATGCCGAAATAGAAATCTAACTTTCTCACTCTCTTCTACATCAAGAAGAACAACAGAAGTATCTGGGACATACCCTCTTAACTTCATTTCCTGCAATAACTTTTCCCATCTTTGATGTATTTCTTTATTTTGATCGTGAGCCTCGTCTCCGGCCACAAACTCGTGGGTTACCCCATCTATCGTGATTGAACTCGACCCTGGGGTCTTCTTCACCCCTTTCTCTCTCATCAGCTTTCTCACTCTAGCCGCATCTTCCCACCTCTTAGCTTCGGCGTAAATGTTGGATAACACGACATAATATCCATCGTTAAGTGGATCGAGTTCAAGAAGGTGTTCAATGGCTTCTTCTGCCATTTCAATGTTCTTGTGAACCCTGCAACCACCAAGAAAAGCTCCCCACACCACCCCATTTGGCTTAATTGGCATATTCGTTATGAATTCACGGGCTTTTTTAAGTAAGCCAGCCCGACTCAAAAGATCAACCATACAACCATAATGTTCTATTCTCGGAACTATCCCATAATCTTTAGTCATACTGGCGAAAAACCGTTGACCCTCTTTTACCATCCCCATATGGCTGCAAGCATGTAAAAGTCCGATAAAAGTTACCCCATTAGGCTTTATTCGCAAATGAATCATCTCTTGAAACAAATTCAAAGCTTCTTCACCATTTCCGTTGATGGCTAACCCTTGAATCATGGCTGACCATGAAACAATCGTTCGTTGCTCCATTTCATTGAAAACGCTGCGAGCTGAATCTAGACATCCACATTTGATGTACATATCGATCAAAGTGTTGGAAATACGAATGTTTGTTCTAAATCCGCTTTCATTTGAAAAATCATGAATCCTCCTTCCTAGATCAAGGGCGCCGATATCTGCACACGCTGCAAGAACGGCCACCACGGTAACCTCATTTGGATGTAACTTCTGCTCTTCCATCTGAGTAAAAAGATCAATTGCGGCCTTCGGTTTCCCACACTGAACAAAACCCATGATCATAGATGTCCATGACCTCACGTTTCTCTCAGGCATGTTATCAAACAGTTCATAGGCGTCGTCCACCTTTCCTTTTTTCACCAACTGTGTAATCATGATGTTCCATGTAACAATATCTCGTTGAGACATTTTATCAAACAGTTGGAGGGCATCAGAGGTCTCCCCAGAAACTGCATACAAATGAACCATACTATTCTGCAAAAACAAATTCGATTGTAACCCAAGTTTCTCAATGAACCCATGAACGATCCTGCCGTCAAAACCATCCGATATTTTCGTACAAGCTTTAAGAAGGAAGGAAAAAGTAAAAGCATCTAAACAAACATCATACTCGCATAACCGACAAAATAACCGAATCGCATCAATTGGCCGATCACTTTCGGCAAAATCTTTCAAACAAGAATTCCATACAACATTCTCTGGTTTGCCGGATATCTGAATGAGTTTTCTGGCGTAGGGGAAGCTGGGAGTGAAGGCGCAGACGGAGGCAACAAGAGAAAGTGAGAGGAGAGAGGGAGAGGTGTTGGTTTTGATAATGTGGGCATGAATTTGTTTGAGCTCAAATGGCGTTTTGAAACTGTAAAGATCATTTCCAAGGGTTTCTGATGTAGGTTTTAGAGCAGCATTCGATTTGTGAGTTTCAGGAACAGGTAATGAAGATAAAGAAAGTAAGGATTGAGACATTTGAGCTTCTGGTGGTGGTTGCAGGCTGGTGGTGGTTTTAGAATTTATAAGTTATCCAAATCCAAGAGTGATGATATCATATTCGGTTCGCTCAAAAACCCGATCAATCATCTCAACGTAATCCAGCCAAATTCAACGTGAAATAATTCAATTTCAAGTAACATAATGTTTAATCAAGTTGTACAATTTTTAGATTATAGGTATTAGGTTGAAATTAAGTTACGGTCATTTGAACTCAATCCAATCCGATGGACTCGATATCCTTTTATTTCTTGAATTTAACATAATTGTTAAGTCCGTAATAATATGTATATTAGAGAAATACACCATCACGTACCCTCTTCAATTTTCATATACATATACTTGCAATTTCTTCCCGTCTCTATGTAACTCCTTCGTATATATGTTTGATAAATGTGAACATATATATGTAAATTGAGAAAAGTAGTTAAATGTTATATACGTAAGACTTAAGGAGTACATGAATAGATAAAACAACATATTTAAGGTTAAAAGAATATTTTGATGTACCAACATATTAAACCGATCAATTTGTACGGTTTGGTTGGGTTGGGTTGAGATATTTCAAACCGCAAACATTAGGTTGAATTGTTCAAATACCTTCAACCCGATCAACGCAACTTATGAGCATCCCTAATATCAACCACATTTTGTGTTAAATTCGGGTCACTATGGGAATGAAGGAAAAATTTATGTTGATGTGTCACGACAACCGTACAATAATCGAGTCTTGACCGGTTTTAAAAGGACCGATCAAGCAACAAAAAGAAAATTGGGTTGCACAGGTTTTTGACCAAAAATTTAAAACCAAATCTAGACTTGCGTTAACCAATTATTTAGGGATTTAAAAGAAATAGCAAATAAATATATATATATATATATATATATATATATACTATATTATAAAATATTTGATAAAAACTTTTAAAAATCATTTTTTATGCATAAATTATTGTTTATTGATGCAAATTACTTAAAATTCAATATTACAAGTAAATTGTACGTATTGTACAACTTATTAAAGCTCCATGTTTGAACTTGTGTAATTAACTGCAGATAAACATAATCAAATATTAGTTGTGTACCTGCGCAATGCGGATGTAAAAAAGGTACGATAGTGCTTTAATTTGTGGTGTGAAATCCAATTTGTGGATCTGTAAGATGTTTTCTAACATCATTGTAATGAAAATATTATCATATTATGACAATGTTAACAATTAACCTAAGATACATTTAGTTTACAAAAACAATATAGGACCACTCTTAATATGTATTTAATCTTACTCTTGAGTTTGCTTCTTGTAATCCAAATCTAGAAAAAAAAAATGCAAAAAATAACTTTCGGTCTCTTAATGTCAAATATCCAACTATGCATAAAAGATAAAAACAATAAATAACACATAAAATCAATATTTTCAACAAAATTTGAAAACATGTCGAGAACTTGAAAATTAAAGCCGCAAAATGGATGGAAGTCTAAGGGGTCATATATCAAACGTTTACCCGGGTAAGCACTTACCAACTCACATTACTTTACCGGATGAATATGGTAGGATCAAGAACCTTACTCAATAAGTGAGAAGACAAGACCGAGAGTCTTACCTAGTAAATGAAGATCATCAACCATCAACTTTTTTGTTTCAATCATACATCATGACGAATATGTATTACAAACGTGTGAAAAATATTAATCACTTTACATTTCTAGCATTTTGAAATCAAACCAACGTTTCATATCAAGAAATATATTCGAGGATTAAAAAAAGATAGATTCTACTCACTTCTCGGTGTTTTCTTCAAGCCTATGAGCAGTCAAAACAGATACAGGTCTAGCCGGTGTATCAAGAACGCAGCAAGAGTCTCCAACTAAAGCAACTGTCACAGACAATCTTAAATCTGTTTGTTTAGTTTGCTAAGCACAACTTCATAATTATTATTAATTAGTGATAGATTGTCTAAAAGTACTTACACAATATTTCCATATATTATTGCTTAATTTATATAGAATTGAGTACAAGGACATAACGGTCATGGTGGGGTGTTAGTCTCGAAGGGAAAGGCAATAAACAGAAAGTAATTGTAGAAGAGGGGGTTGAATACAATTACACAGACTTTTTTCAACTTTTTAATTCTTATTGATTTATATCAAGAATTAATA